AACCTCCTGAAGACGTGTAAGGGCTGCCCGTGCTTCGTAGTTGAGCTTGCGGAGGGCCTCAATCAGTACACTTAAGGGTGGGTGGTCGACACCAATCAAAATACTGAGGCGCCTGAAAAACGTTTATGTGGACATTGGATACTAGGCAAGTGCGAAACAATTAATGCTTACCTGTGGAAAGCTTCGGCTAGATTTGTGGTCCTCAGCTCCTCCAGTTTCCATTTGCACCACAGGTCTTTGAATAATCCTTGCATCCATGTCGCCTGGAAGTAGATCAGGAAGTCTTCACATTTCTTGTGGGCATTATGCTCTCTGGGGATGGGGGGTTCTCGAAGGGCTCTAACTTCCGATAGTAACGGGCGCGGGAGAAACACTACACCTGAAAGAGCGAAGTGCTATTGAGATGCTCTAAAATTATTGAAATTCATAATTTTGGTACCTTTCACTACTTCCCACCATTCCGCTACTCGCTCATCTCTTTCCAATCCGTGTATGTGTCGCCTCAAACCCAAGGCATCTCTCTTACGATTCCAGGCCTGTGCAATGTGAAATGAACAGCCCTCAACGGAGGCCCTAGGGAAAATCTTTTGCGCAGCTTTGATCGCTGCTTTTTCAAAGTCGAGGATCACTCGCAGAGGTGCATCACCACTAATATTCGCCTTCAACATTTCGAAAATTTTCAGATAGGTTCGCTCCGTTTTCTTGGCGGTGATGCAGTAGACCAGGGGTATCTCGACACCATTGGAGCATACGCCATGCACGCAGTACAGCTGTGCATGGTAACCAAGGGATTTGGGATGTAGTGAATGCATCCCGTCTGCCACAATGCTATGTAGCCCAGCTTCGCACGCCTTCTAAAATAGATACAAATTCTCAAAAAACCAGAGAATGATGATCTATTTGTCTAACCTGAATTGTTGCAACGGAGAAATAGATGTGAAGTCCAGGCGCATGATGATGGAGGAAAATGGAGCCGTCGCGTAGAGTACGAAATTCCCAAGGGACTTCATCCATTGTTACTGACCTGTTTGTCCACACACCAATGCTTCTGAACTGGGCCGAGTAATGAAAGTTTGAAAACTGACTCATCAAATTTGCTTACCTTGATATGACTCGTCTGCGAGCCTGATATCCTGAGCGCCGAATTGAAGCCCTTATGGAATCTTCCATTTCTTCTGCAATAGGAAGAAAAATATTTAGATTATTCAGCAAATTCCCGAAGATTCTACCATTGTCAGCATCAAACGGTTCTGCCAACATATCGAGATAGACTTTAACCGGTTTCTTCCCAGCACACGTAGGATCGCGCCTAATGTTCTGCATCTCCTGAAATTTGCGACTACAGCACTACGATTTGAGTTGGATACCATTTCTTTACCTTGTATACATGTCGGTTGCCTCTTTCTTCAGTATATTTGCCAGGAGTACATTCATGATCAATTCTACAAGGGTCGGACAAGAACTCGTTTCCTACTACCTAAACAGGACGTGATGGGAAAGGTGCGCGTGCTTTCTTCCGTTCTCTCACGTACTTTGATGAATCCTCCTCCTCCCACTCGCTCTCCCCGTCTTCTTCGTTCCTTGAGACAATGCACGCATCCGTAAGTTTCGCTGTCTTTGCTTCTATAAGCTCGGTAGAACGTGAATGAGCGCGTGGTTCCTGGAATTCGGTAAATCAATACATCATATTTTCCTCTTTTGCTTACCTGTTTTTCACCGACGTATCTTTGCACCAATGTGTCCTCTGGATTAGTGAGAGTAGCCGTCGATACTGTTGTCCCTGAAAGCGAGGAATCTTGTGACGATTCATTACATGGAAATGAAGGTGGAAGCGTGGGAGGTGCAGCTCGTGGAAGGACTGTAGACGCTTGAGATTGGGTCAAAACAGGTACTGTGGAAACAGGCGTCTGTGGTAAAGTTGAAGCCATGTATAGCGGTGAGGTAGCTGAGTACAAAGGGTCGTAGGGGTAAGTAACATTGGTGAAGGGTTCACAACCCAGAGAAATTGTGGACAGAGGGGGCTGAAATGGTGTGGGAGAGATGCTGTATGAAGGTGCAGGGGTGCAGGGGCTGGCTTGTAGAGGTGGCTTGAAAGGGTATTGTCAAATCTATATTGAGGGAAGACGACTGTGGTTGCGCAGTGCTGAGGAACACAGAGCCATTAGACGGAGCGTCCAAGATGAAAACGTGTCGTTGTCCTGGCAAGCGCTCTACGTAGGTAAACCTGAATCATGTTCATGAAATTTTGGTGTCCTATCCTTTCTATGTACTCAGGACTCTGGGTTCGCCAGAGTCGAATCCGTCTGTTCTCCGTACAATACAGGACAGAATAATGCAACTATTTTATTCAGTCACCAGTAGAATAAGGCGCAGTGAAGTCGTGCTGACGGCGGGTGGTAGACGGCAGGGTTGGTCACCAGCACAGGTCCTGTAGCTCCGGACTACCGGATCGAGACGAACGTCGTGGCGGCGGCAGGCGTCGGTGGGGGAGAAGCCTCTTCGACACGCGTCCAGAGTTTAAGTACCGTGCCGGCTGACGGCCTGAAATCAGCGCTTCAGATCTTCGTACTGGCATTCCGATGCGCTTGAGAAGCCTGTAAACATAGCCTATCGATTGGGAAAGCCTACAGGCTTACACCTCCCCCCTTTACCCAAATACGTCCGTCCTCGGACGTAGGTGAAGCCCTGGGTCCAGAAGGGAACAACGCGAGACCCTGCATGACTGAACTATGTGAATTGAGTTGCAACTCCCAAAATCTTCCCAGGTTCCTTCCCATTAGTCTGGGTAGGGGAAGAAACAAATAATAATAAACGTAAATAACCCCGAACAAATCGACCTAACTGTTGATCTGGGCCGCTCCAAGCCGATCCCCCAACAACCCAAAAAAAAATCTGGAAAAAAAGGAACGCTGCTCACCTTAGACCAGAGACAAAACTTAAAGCGAACCAGTGACGTAAATAAAGCGGCAAGGAGATGGTGGCGGTAGTGGATAAGATGAGTAGCAGTGAAACCAAAATCTTCCAATAAAGAGCAACTAGGTCGCAGAGTGGACCACTGAAATCAATCCCTGTGAATAAATAAGTACTAAAGTAAATAAATGGGAGGAAAAGAAAAAAAATGTAGAGAAAAGTGAGGAACCTTCGGCACTTACACTTAGTCTAGGCAATACCGTGCTATGCAAAGACATCGGGTAGTGACGTGGTGCCCACAATAAGATTCCAGTCGTGTGCCCATTGAAGAACTCGTCCCCAGTTTGGCAGGTGCTGAAGAGCTTCGGCATGACCTAAAACAAACTGGCCATGTCTACATCGAGTGATCGCCACGTTGAGTCGGCGGATATCATCCACGAATTCTCCTGATTCGCCGTCGAGTTTCGTCCTAGTAGTAAGCACAATAACGATATCCATTTCCCGACCTTGAACTGAGTCGACAGTGTGTAGTGGGACTCCCAGGCGCCGCAGTGGTTCTTCCAGACGTCGTTGTTGTTCTTTGTAGAATGTGATGACGGCGATTGATGAGGCCAAAATATCCTTCGCGAGCAGAGCACAGACCAAGTCCTCGCAACAGGATGCCTCAGCCCGATTGTAATGGGACTGGGACGATGATGCGTGAGAATGCCCACGAACGTCGACGAAGATGAAGGGGATGTCCGGATTCGGCAACGAAAGACGACGGGTAAGAAGTTGACGCTGTCGAGCGGTCGATCCATTGACGAGTGTTCCGTTGTAGACGAGCCGGTTGGGGAGGCCGTTAAGAGCGGGATGCGCTCTAAACGTGGTGACGAGAGGAGCAACCGGGACATCTTTCTGCATCAACAACGCCATCAATCCTTTCCCTCCTAGACGAGCCGCCATCGATGAGCGCGGACACCGCACATGTGGTTCGAGTTGATTGGCATCGCCAATGTAGATGTGGCGCGCACTGGTGAAGCGCGCTACTAAAGCTACGAACGCCGGCTCAGGGATTTGGGAAGCTTCGTCCCCTATGACAACGTCGGCATTGTGGAATACCGTGGAGAAAAGGCCTCCAGCTCGAGTGGTGTTGAGCAAAGACGCGGTGGTCATACAGACGATGTTGGGGAATCGCACACGGAGCATAATTCTGACGGCCTCTTCGGTGTCTTCGGAGTTGTCACGTTCCGCGATACGGTACTGCTCTCGTTCCTCGTCTGATAGGTGAAGGGTTGCCTCGGGATCCAGCAGAAGGCGCTCGATAAGCGTACGGCCTCGAGCATAAACGGTGAGCTCTTCACGCTCCGACTCTGACAGCTTGTCCGGTAGGTTGGCCACTAGGCCACGTAGCACTTGATGGAGATCCACCGGAGTGGTTGGTGCACCTTCCCGTAACGCAGAGTCGGCTAGAAAGCGAAGCACATTAAGACGTCGAAATTCATTGAGTTTCAGCAAAGTGTCGGTGAATTGCGCCACGGCGACGTTTGTCGTAGCAGTGGCGATGACGAGTCGTCCTTGTTCAGCAAGACGGGCGGCAATGTAAGCGCCCACCACTGTTTTCCCCGTGCCAAATGCAGCCTGGATTGCTAAGATGGGATGATTGCCGAGGCCCATGTGAACTGCATTAGATTGATCGTTACGAAGGGGGATGTTGATATTATTTAACGTGATTGTAATGGGAGGAACGGTGGGCAATGGGTGCTCTCGCTCCGGACGTGGACGACTGGAGTAGACCAGGTCGAGGACGGTATTGGCTCGGGACGGAGTATCCGGATCCCCGATCGCTGAGGAAAAGGTATCGTCCGCGAGAAGACTGAAAACAGGGTCCGTTCCTGTAGGAGCACGGGCCAAACGGACGCACATGCGAACTACAGCTTCGTTGGCTTCACCTCGCACCCTGCCGAACTGCTGAATCGCTCGTAGCAGCCCCCGGTGACGATGTGGTTCGGAGTGGAGCTCAACCTCGAGCAATTGGCGATCTGGCAAAAAATTAGTTGCGGCGATCCTGTTTCTGAACACCATTGACGAGTAGACTATCCAAGTATGCACGGTTCGTGATCTGGTCCATCCACCTTGAGCGGACGCAGCGTCAATATCAAGCATCATTCGAACCGGTAGAGCGGTCAGACTGGGCACGAACGCAGTGACTTCATGTGTAGATTTGTCGTCTGACCAAACGTTGTAAGCAGCGAGGGCTGCGCTTGCTACTGCAAACAGCTGGCTCATTCGATGTCGCGATGATCGTCGATCGCGACTGTAGTTGACGAAGTCCCGCTCTCGATCGGCAATCCAACGCAAATCCGCAGGTAGCATCCGTGAAACTTGGAGTGGTAGTAGTCCTTCTTCTGGATGAGCCGGAAGGAACCGTCGGACAGCATTCACGAGGACACGTTGCGAATCGAGGGAGACAGCCGAGTGGCAAAACCGCATGGCGCAAGAGACATTACGCCGACAGGAAGCCAGCAAGAGCATGTCGCGCTCGACGTCGTCGATGGGGAAGTCGCATATGGTCGGAGGGACTCTTATAGCTTCCTGAGACCCTTCAAAAGCAGCATAGAAGTTGTTCACGTATTCCAGATTGGCGCCACGTCGAGTAACAGCAATGACGAGGCCCACAACATTGCGACGTTCAGACGACGGAGTGACGGGGATGAACTCGTGCACTCTCAAGAAGTAGGGAGCCGCCGAATCCACGATAGTCGGGCGAGGTCGACGAGCTTCTCGAAGGATTGCATAGCGATTACCGGACTGGAGTGTTCTCGCCGTTGGCCGGAGAGAGTAAACCCAGATGAAATCTTTGATGGATAGCTGGTTTCTGTCGAAGCCACGGGTCCTGGAGAGAAGATTGATCGAATCTTGGGTTAAAGGCAGGCACTGCAGTTCCCGAAGGTCCGGTCCCGGAATGAAAAAATCTTTTGCTTCCAGAACCACGCCCGTACCGTAGCTACGTGAGACGACTTGGTAGAGAACGGGAAGGACTCCTCTACGAGTTGGTGGGTAGAGGCACGTTACATTAGCGCCTGGAGAAGTGCGCGGCAGATGCAGGAAGTCGGCAAAGTCGTTTTCGAAAACATCGTCCAAGAGTTCTTCCGTGACTTTGATCGCATGCTGTCGAAACGCGATGATGTCGTCAAGTCTCTGGAGCTCCATAATCGAGATCTTGTTGTCCGGGGCTGGTGTTCCGACGAATCTTCGAGGGAAGAGTGAACGTACGAATCGGCTAGCAAAGTATCCATCTTGTGGAATGAAACGGTAGACGTGGCTAGGGAGGTCGGCTGTGATGACCTCCTCCGAGAGGTGCGGGAGACGTGGTCGAGGTTCAACGTAGATGCCCCACGGATGCAGATTGGCATAGACGTTGGTATAGTTATCCGGAGTACTTTCCCAGCGGGGAGAACGAGCTGGGTGAGGCTGAATGCCGGGGCGTACAGCAGCCAAATTGGAAGGCATCTGTCGTGCCCGTTTAGAAGGGCCCGGAACGGATTCGTTGGTAGGTTCGGAGGAAGACGAAGGTCCAGCTGCCAGCAACGATGAAGTACGAATGGAAGAAAACGGGTCCGCCCGAGGTGGCACGTGGTGTACCGCAGACGTCTCCGGTGACGGTGAGGTCAACGGACATCCCGGATCGGCGGCTGTGAGCGATAGCTGCTGGAGAGATGGTTCTGAAAAG